TGTCTCTCTTAATTAGTTTTGGTTTGAAATCTGCTTTGTCTGCAAATAAGATTGCTACCCCTGCTTTTTATTGGTTCCTGTCAGGTGGAGAACTGTTTTCCATTCTTTTACTTTCAGTCTATGAATTTCTTTTTGAGTTAGGTGTGTTTCTTGTATACAGCATATTGTTGGATTTTGCTTCTTAATCCATTATGCCAGTCTGTTTCTTTTGATTGGTGAATTGATACCATTAACATTGATAGTTATAATTGATAGATATTGACTCATCCTTCTCATGGTATTTTACTGTTATTGGCTCTTTTATTTCTTGTTTTTTCCCCCTTTCCCTTTAGTGTCTTACCTTGCTGGTGGCTTCCCTCTGTTGAGCCTCATGGAGTTGTGACCTTCATCAGCCTTTTCTAGGATATTGCTTAGAATTGTTTGGAGTGCTGGTTTGGTGTTCATGAAATTCTCAGGTGTTCTTTGTCATGGAAGTATCTAATTTCCCCATCAATTTTGAAAGATAATTTTGCAGGATACAACAGTCTAGGTTGGAAGTTATTTTCTTTTAGGACTTGAAATCCTTCACTCCAGGCTCTCCTTGATTTGAGGGTTTGTGTTGAGAAGCCTGCCATGATTCTAATGGGCTTTCCTTTTGTGTCTTTTCTCTAACTATCTGTAGGATTTTGTTCTTCTGTTGGGTTTCTGGGATCTTGACTATTACATGTCTAGGTGTGGATTTTTTTTGATCATGGCTAGTTGGAGTTCTATATGCCTCACTTATCTGTGTGTCCAATTCTCCACCTCTGTCTGGGAAGTTTTCTACTATTACTTCTGTGAACAGTTTTTTTATGTCAATTGTACTTCTCCTGTTTTTTCGTGGACTCCTATCAGTCTTATGTTGTTCTTCTTTGCATCATCTAGCAGCTGCTGGATTGATTTCTCATAGTCCCTTACTATTTTTAAGAAATCTCTGTTTTCATGGTCCTTCACTGCAATCCTGTCTTCTATATCTGATATTCTAAGATAGTCACTTTCTAATGCAAATCTCCTGGGGATGATTTCCATGAGCCTGAAACTCCATGAGTTTGTCTTTATTGTAGCCCAAGCAGCAGGGACACAAATCAACAAGATTACCTTTTGAGAATTGCAAAAGTTTATTTCCATAAAATTGCCTTTATCACAAATTTAAAATCTGGAGGAGCTCTCCCCCCAAAGACTTCATAAATATGGTTGGAACACCAAGTTTTCATTTTAAAAGGTCATACTGAAAGTGCTCAGAGATGATCCCCCTAGACATTTGTCCAACATCTGAGGGACAGTGAAAACTTCAAGCAGCCAGGGTTGCTAAGACCACTTCATGGCCCCAGGGTTAGAGTTTAAATCCATCCACATAATAAGAAGTAGTAAAATTTCTATGGCCCAGCAAGGGACAACTGCCCCATGACAACGCAGCTAGAAGTCTTCCTGGCTATTCCATTTCACCTGACAGCAACAACATCTGTCCTGCTCCCTCTTGTTTAATGCTAGGATCTTTGTTTCTTACTATAAAGCTCATTGGCACCCTTCCTGGAATGAAGCATGCTACGGGGAGGTAGACCAGAGGAAAATATAAATACCCGGAATTATATATGATGGCAGTTTCAATAAAAATACCTGATTGTTGTTCATAGATCCTAATGCCACATGAAGTTAGAGGATACATGAAGTCAAAGAACTCAGGCAGCATGATGGAGACTGGGCAGCCATCTCCCAGAGTAAGCTCGTGTGGCTGGATTTGCAGGTCATCCACCAGAGGCCATCGATCCAGTCTAACCATGAGCCACATTGGGGTACAGCTGGCTGACAAGTTGGCATGAACATGCTTCAACTGGAAAAGCATGAAGAGCCCTCCTAGCATACCTAAGACCTTCATCATTGCTTCAGACCTCAGCCCAAGGGATGACAGGAAGCAGGAACAACAAGATTCCCTTTTGCATCATGGTTTTCCCAAAGATTTTATTTGATCACCCCCATCTGTTGCATCTGCTCTGTGATGGTTGAAGCACAGATTGGTGGCAGGAGTTGGCTCATCTAACCATCTACAGTAGGATCACCCTCTCCATCCAGGGAGGAGCTGAGCATGAGAAGTAGCAGCAAGAAAAAAGCATGCATAATGAGGAGTTATCCTTTCATTTGCCTCTAAATTCAGGAATCTTGTCAGTTGAAATCCAGGGGTTGAGAAATGAATTCACTGGTTCATATGATGGTAAATATTTGCTAAGGAGGAGATCCTTACTCGGTTCTTACTTTCACAGTGCCCAGCACACACAGGTTGCTGGAAAATGCTCCAGCAGTATCTCACTCATCTAACCCAGGTGAACAAGTTCCTCTGCTAAGTTCCTTGCTGTTCCTGTGTAGCTTCATATCATGTTCCCTTTGTCTAGATTATTGCTCTGTTCATTAAAACACTGCCTGTGGGTAAGATTAGCCATCTTGTAGGTTACCCAGCCCTCTTCTCATTGAATCTCTCAGAGTCTGAGTACACATTTCCATGAGAAAAGCCATGTACTGAGGGAAAGTCTGATTTTCCTCCTTTAGAGAAAGTGGAACTTCTTGTGGAGCCAGTGAATAATGAGGCATAGGCTTCTGCCCAGGTCTTCCAGGGAGAATGTTCCAGAGGAAAAGAAATAGTTTAATATAGCTGGGATGTTTAACTGTACTAGTTGGGGCAGGTCTTTGCAGCAGAACAGTGTCACCATCACTTAAAGCACTTGTATGTACGACAGCACGATATTGTTGGAATTCTGTGACTCTTCAATCTGCAATGAAAAGAAAATGTTTGCCAGACTCTTCTATGAAACCTTCTCCCCACATGTGCTGTATACTCAATGTGTGACTCTTCACATGTTGGATAATGTGGACATTTTTGTTTCCATCCTGCTCCTTGTCCAGGCTCCCTTTCTACTCATGGTGACCTCACCAGGTTCTCACCTACCCTGTGATTCTTCCTGCTGTGGGAAAAGTTTTGCTATTACTTAACTCATGTCTGTTGCACTTCCCTCAAGGTCACTTTCTAAATGTAACCATTCCTTTATGTTTTGAGCCATTTAAAATAATCACAACCTTTACTTGTCAAAGGCTATAACTGGTACTTAAGGATCATTATATTTGGGCAGAAACTGTGAGTGTGGCTCAGTGAGAGAGCACTTGCCTAGCACATGTGAGGCCCTGTGTTTGATCCCTAACACACACACACACACACACACACATATGCACACACACACACGGGGAGTGGTCCTATGACAACATCAGTCTCTTCAGTTTCTAGACCTGAGAGAATTCTCTAACCCCCAAACACTGAAAAATGAAGACAACTCAAAGGAAGATTTCTGCAGTGACAATTGTACACTTTGGGATTAGCCACCATGGCTGCTGCCTGGATTTGTAGATAAAGTTTAATGGAAACCACCTATGCCTTTTCATTTAACTTCTGTCGATGGCTGCATTCATACCACAGCAGTAGAAGGGAGGAGTTGTAACTGACACTATATGGCTTGCAGCACTAAAACATTCATTATGTGACTGTTGTACATGTGATAAATTCTGAGTCCCCCTGCTCCACCACATCCATCATGGTAAATAATATTCATAGTTCATCCTGAAGTGGGGAATACAATAGACTGATGTCACCATTAAAGACCTGAAGCGCTTGTGGGCTGTGGCTAGCTTCTGTATGCTCTTATTGATTGACCTGGCTTTACCACAGTTGAATTGATCCTAGAAGGTGAAAGCAGATTTCAAGAGATCCAGTCATGTTGGAATAACATTTTCAATGTCTGCACCAAATTTAGAATCTTTCAGGTGCATGGTATGTTTCATTGATATGGAAATTGAATTGTTTTCTATTCCTCTCAGAGAACAGGATCACAAACTGCACATTCACATGGAATGAACAACTGTGTGCATCCACAATTTATTCCTTCAGCTTTATTAACTCTCTTTTCCTTCTTTTCCTTGTCATAACATAATCTCCATAGACTTGGGACTTGGGCCAACTGTCTACCTAGTAAAATAAAATCCCAGGGTGTTACCAGGCCATGGTGATTGGATCATACAATTCTTCTTTTTTTGAAATGGCAGGTATATGGGAAGATTTTGTGAGACATCTGGACTCTGGCAGTAGTAATAGACCATGAGAAGATTCATCCCTTCATCTTAGCAGAAATTATTAGGGTCTAATTTTTTTCAACATTCTGAGCCATCTTCCGTGAACTAAAGAATGGATTATTATACCTTACTTTTCCCATCGTGAATCAGCAGGAAGCCCTTATGGTTAAGCTTGTTTCTGGAAGCAGCATATGTGCACTTGGGAATGTTGCCCAACACAAGTGTCAGGAGTGAGGAAAGGTTTGGTGTTGAGTCCTAGAGCAGAAAGTTTGAGCAGAAGGTACAACACAGGTGTGTGATGATATTGTGTGTTCCCAAGGAGCCAGTAGATTCTATCATGGTACAGAAAGGTATGATAGGTCAGAACTCTGTGCTCATCTCAAGCCCCCAAAGAGAATTCCAGTGTGTAATGAGGCCATATCATTTTCAATGAAAAGTACCTTTTGAAAAGGTTTGTTTCTGTCCTTGCTCACACTTCAGAGCCATGTTTGCTCTTCTTTTTCATGATCCTGTTTTCTGATCCACAGCCAGCACATCGCATCTTACAGACATCATGCTACTAGGGTCAGACTCCACCATCTTCTTTCAAGGGTGATTTCTCAGGGACAAATGGTCTGAGCATGGGTCCTTTACCTGCCACAGTGTGTATTGATGGGAAGGGATGAGACTGTGTCTCATGCACGGACTTGGCTTTTTGGAGACATTTTCCATCCTAGGAACTTGGAAACTAGACTCTACAAGGCCCTGGATTAAAGTGACAGGTTTTGGATTTATTTTTTTTTTCTCTTTTAAATTCTTTTATTGGTACATTTTAGGTATACAGTACATTTACAATTCTCATTGGGACCTTGTACCTTTACATAATGCATCTTGGTTCTTATTTTTTTCCCATTCCTAGTCCTCCCTTCACCCCCTCCATCCTTCCCTATTTACAAAGACTTTTTTCCATTTTTCCATTTCTCATCGTTTTTCCTTTCCTTTCCCCTGCCCCTCCCACTTCTCCTACCCCTTTGGACCTTTTCTTCCTGTTTCGCATTATCAATTATTTATTCTAATCATTGGTACATTTTAGGTGTACAATATAATGCCATTCATCATTGGAAATTTACACCTTCACATAATTTCTCTTGGATCTTATTTTTCACCCTTTCCTTGCCCTCCGTTCCACCCCTCCTTCCCTCCCTATTTACAAAGACTCTGATTCCATTTTTCCATTTTCTCATAATAATTTCATTCCCTTCTTTCCTTTCCCTTACCTCTCCCACTTCCCCTTCCCCTTTGCCCCTTTTCTTCCTATTTCACATTATCTATTAT